CAGAGCGAATGAGTTTATAAAATTCTTCTTTCCATTCAAAGCGTATGCTTATTTAAAATCTAAAAAGGAATGTTGTACCTAAAATGAAAATATGAATGCAATGAAAGCACGTAGACCGTAAAACAATGTGTTTGTGATTCTACCTTTAATGATTAAAAACAGTGTTCCTGAACTTGTGGAGCAACATATTAGTCTAAACTTGTTTTTTTTGAAACAATATACAATAACATGCAATAAAACAATTTAATAAAATTTTAAAAATGATGAAGGAACATTCCATGCTGAAACGGACAACATTCGGCTGTTAAACAATCATGACTCCCATTTTGAACAAATAATGTAAAGTATATGCAACATAGAAAATATAAAAACAAAAAACCCAGATGCAGATTCAATCGATGCCCATCTATAGTATCTGCAGTAACAAATTCAAAAAAATAAAACGCAATTTATTTCCTTATCAAATATAAATATTAATATATTTTTATCATATGAAACGCCTTTTTTCAGTAATGACCTCGAGCACATCCTTTTAGAGTTGCATAATGGAGATTTCTACCAACAGTTTACACTAAAGTGAACGCTAAACATTTATAATTTATTTAGTAATATGTAGAAGCACATTTATAAGCTCGAATTACGTGATTAATGGGATCGGTTCGCTTTGAGAAAGTCATAACAAGTGCATGATTGTTGCAACAATGGTAATGAACTTCATTCAACTCTGTCTATCACAAATAACAACTATGATTTATTATTTGTTATTGTTGAGGCTATTGCTGCAATTTTATTGCAATTGAATATAAGAATTCAATAAATTTAAATATTGGTTTTGTGGAAAAGTTGACGAAGAAGAGCAACTACAGGGTGCAAATAACAAACAACCAAATAGAGATGTCAAATTGACAACATCCAATTGTAGGTGCAATTATTTTATTACAGTGTATGAAACAAGGCCATGAAATGTGCGTTACAATATACAAGCCCTATTTTGATTAAAAATCAACGCAGGTATGTATACTTAGGGTTGCAACCGGGAGTTTGTTTTTAAGAGGAATTAAAAATTATTTACTACTTATATTATATTTCAAATGAAGTTTGTTCCGTAACCTAAAAATAATAACCATTATTACGATCAGTTATTATACACTAGTAGCATAAAGACACATTACCTATTATTCCTGCGAATGCAAAATACAAATTTGGAAAAAATAAATTTTTCCTTGTCCATATAATAAAATATCAGTTTTAAACTTTCGGTCATTTTGTTGTAAACTTTTGCTTTTCCTTTAGCATTTGATTTGCTCGCAATTGCTAAATAGTAACATTTACTAATTTATGGATATTTCAAACATTTAAATTGCTGTTATTTGATTTAAAATACTACAAATGTCTGCAGCTAAGTGAATAACATAAAGTGATAATACCAAAGTAGCTCCATGATTTCATGCACATGTTGTAATTATATTGTTCTTTTTCGAAATTTTACGAACTCGGTAACTAGAAAAAGTAAAGTATTGCAAGATTAAACGATTTCTCTAGTCTTTGTCACACAATCAAATTGCTTAATAATAATAAATAATTGTTGTTTTGGGTTAAGCTAAATGATGTCGCCTTCTATCTTTTTATTATTGAAAACAAAATCTAACACAGATTCATGTGTCAAGCAATGGCAAAGTCGTTATAGTGTTAGTTATTTAAGCAATAGCTTGTCACAAATTCCTTATCAATAAAATAATTTATACAACTTGACTAAGCAACAAACAATTTGTACCCTTCAATTGGTGGCCTATGAAATACCACTCTGGCAAAATTAATCTTGAAAATTAAAAATCAATATGCATTTACCGGTGTGTACAACATATTTTTGTTATTTAACATATTGGTTGACAGTAGTTAAAACTTCCCTAAACAGAGTGATCCGCGTTTGATACCACAAACCTACGCGTAAGTTAATTAATTGCTGGCGATTATTACATGCAATAGGTACATCACTAACAAACATATATAATCATACCGTGCATGATGCAAAATTAAAATTTTAATTTTCAATTTTATACAGACGCAAACGCACTGACGCAACTAAAGTTTTAATTAAACCTGAAATCAAGTCTGAATGTTTTATTCCTAAGTTTAATTTAATTAGTCATCTTTTAAAAGTACAATAATTGTTTACATTAAAAACAACTTTATGAAAATATTTACGCTGAATCCTAGAAAGCTCAAAAAGTTATAAGAGGGCTTCTCTTAGATGCACATAATATTTGAATGCTAAAAAAATGTACCGAAACCATTTTAAAATTTAACCTTACTTAACCTACACAACTATAATACAATAATAACGACAATATAGATATAGATTCATTACAACGCACTTCAACGGCGAGATTCTGTTCTTATTTGGTGAGCGTGCGGTTTGTTTTACGAGTATTACTATTTTCTTTATCAAGGTAATGCTATACATCCAATGCAAGTCAACATTCAATTATGTATCTGTTTTGAAGACAATTTGTATGCAAACAATGTCTTTTAAAGACAAAGACATCATGAATATCTCCTACTAAAAGAAAATGTTTGGAACTGTGAATAAGTAAGTATATTTTTATCGCTGTTAACTAAATACCTACTTTTAAGCAGAGTACAAATAAAAATTGTTTATGACCTTTATTGTGACGTTATAAAATTGTCATAAATACTACCTATATGCATATAATTTCACATGCTTCCTCAATCAAACTGTTAAAACTATTTAATTATAATTATTTCAATTTAATTGAACTCAATTATTTTAACTTTTTCAGTATATTTTGTTTATTGAAGTTATTTACTTTTATTTTCACATATAGATATTTGTTCTGTAGTTGGCATAATTGCGATGAGCTGTAGTGCGGTTGGTAGTTGGCCGTTTGGTCGTTGGTCACTTAATAAAATTAACATACTACAACGAGCGACGTGTTCGCGCTGTAATTTAGCAATTTAATTTCCAGATGAAATTATTATAGTCGTCGCCGTACTCACAAACAGACGCATTATAAAAAGTGTGCAAAAATAAACGAATGACACACTTCCTCGTCGCGCCAACATCGCCAACCTAGTCTGCCAGTAGCGTCGTGATGGAAAACCGCAGTAAATGATTTGCTGCTTTATTTATTTAAATGCTCATGCAAATGTATTTACTTCAAGATAAATTATTTTATCCTTAACAACTCAGTAAATCAATTATTTATTGGCATGTTTTGGAAATGCTAATGCTATTGCGTAGAATATAATTATAAAATTACGTTCTGTTATTACTTAATAATTGAAGAATCATTGGTAAAATTTCAAAACTACACCATATACATATATACAACCTTATAAGTTTGATAAATGCCGATCACATTTCTTTAAACTTTAAGTCTTACCCTTCTTGTGGATAGAATAAAAGCTTCCAAATAAGATAAAACTAGAAACATTTATTTGTTTTTTATTCATTAAAGAAAACCGACACAAATCGGCTATAAACTAGATACAATATGCAAAATTATTGATCAATAGAGCGTATATAATGCAGTTGACAAAAACGAATAAAACAAATTTGCATTTAAAATCTTAAGAAGATATTTGCAACAAATATAAATATATATTGACAAAGGAAATATAGATAATAACATTAAATACAAGCGCCATCTGTGAAGACATATTGGAAAAAGATACTATAATAATTTAAATAAGTAGACTACTGTAATAACCAATACTATTAAATTAGTCTGTCTCTCAAAGAGGACACTAGTTGTTTGTGTAATTTGGTAAATACATTTCAATCAGTAATCAGCACCATCAAATAAATTGATTTATTTAATAAAATGATTTTAACAGGAAAATAATAAACTTATCGCGTTTTTATTACTATTATGACATAATATTTGAGGTTTTCTTCACACAAATAAAAGCATTATATGTAGTATTAGTAAATACATATCTAACTATATTTTTACATACAATGCGGCAGGTTTCATCAGCCCTTTTTATCGTTTCCTTTAATTTATAAGTATTAATTTTTACGCTATTGTAAAACTATTGTTATTTCAAATAATTTATTTATTTAATTTATTTGTACATGATATAGAAATACGAGTACATTAACTTTTCATCCAACTTTAGTTTCATCAAGTACATACATTTTATTTTGTAGAATAAATAAAAAACAACGAATAATTTTTCTTGCTTCATCTATTTAATATACACACCTCACATACATATTTTCCGGCATGAGGTGGCAAAAAATCGTTACGCGCTTCTCTACTTATTCTTACCAATATAAGACGTCTGGCATGCCGTGACAATACACACACACTGTTCATGTATGTTCAGGGGTTGATTTAAATACTTTATAGTTTTCTTAATAAAAGAGTAAGAAAGGGGGAAACTATTCAAAGTGCATAAGCATAATAGAGGCAAGTAAGTACTATACATGCATAGTCATTCATTAAATTTACTACCTACATATTTTAGTGATATATAGTACAATCTCCTAAAAATAAAAAGAGATATGCTAAGCATATTGATAAATAAATTTTTTTCCATTGATGAAATATCTGTACAAAACGCATAAACGTGAAATAAAGTTTTTTAATGTAAATGTATCATACACATAAAAATTACATCTTATAAAAAATTATCATGTTTTCTTGATGGAGCTATTATCTTATATTTTTGTCTACAAATTTATACATTTAAACGTTAACTTGTTTGCGTATAAATGTATTCGATGTAATAGCGTCAAACTCTAAGTGAAATGCCCATCAGTTACAAATTCGTCGATGAAAAGAAATAAAGAATGCCACTCGCATGCAAATAGATTCGATTAGATTGGGGGAGGTATTAGAAAAGTAGAAACAGAAATAGTAAACCATACCCTGCAGAAGCGTCACATTGCGTCGCGTCTCGCTTTGCTGCTTTTGTGCGTTGGTGCTTTACCGCCTTTCGCCTCGTTACCATTCAAACAATATTCAGCTGTAGTCACCTGCACTCACCTGCGCTAACCTGCGCTCACCTCAACGTCGTTTTATTACTCGTACGAACGGTGTGACGAACGCTTCGGGCTCTCTGACTTAACGATGAAACAACGTGATTTCGGAAATATTTGAAAATAACATATATTATCAACAAATCAACAATAATACAACAGTTTATCAGTTATTTTAAGTTAAATAACGACGTTAAAATTTTGAGTAAAAATGATTAAATTGTTGCATGTTCACTTTGAAATTTGGTTCATCACAGAGGACAACTAATCATTTTTGGATTTTTTATTTAATCAAAGTGCAATAAGAAGATAAACAAGTTTTTATTTAAAGCTTTATCAACTTTAAAGAAACATCACGATGAAACATGTAAGTAAATAATATGCATTATTATTATTTAGTGTTTAGCGCGGGCATAAAATAAAACTGTCAAATGTGAGCAAGTCTGGGGGAAGCTGATTTTACTTTATCAATTAAATCTTCCATGTGCCTATTTAAATTTTTGTCTGTTTGTTTTCAAATTAACAAAAATTATAAAGAATTGCCATACATATTTTAAATTAAAGCGTAAGTGTATTAGTTTCAAATATTGCTGTCATGTTGAAAGTGTTGTGAATGTATTGCTTCACGCGTAACATTAAATCTCATTTAATCAGAAAAATAAAATTACTAATCCATCTTTAGTCAGAAAAAATTGTGTTAAAATTTAATCTTTTTCCGATTTTTTTTTCAAATGTAAAGAAAATGAAACAAATATATTCTATGATAATTACAACTTTGAAAAAAAAACGACAATCTGCTTTATTATTTATTTTTACTTTTTTTAAAGTAATTTTCCATATTTATATGTGGACCTCATTTAAAATACATGTATACACTTGCAATTAGGTATTGCAAGAGAAACATTAAATAGTATATTAAGTTTGAAGTGGTTAAAAGGGAGTTTTTGTCACGAGATTGATTAAGAGCGACCGTAGCGAAAGTTTATTCTATCGAGTGTTCAACAACGTTTAGCCACGTGATGCTTACCCTATTTTGCAACTTCCACATTATTTTCACGTTGGTATTTCATGACATTTCATGTGATCTTGTGCTGCACCGTAAGCAAATGCGCAGGCGAATGCGCCATGTCTTAAACTCCTGATTAAAGTACTTTAGTCCCTGCCTTGGCCGTATTTAAAGTACCACTTTTTGTATTTCAAATCCCTGGAAAAACTGCCGTTTTAAAGGTGGAACTAAGAAAAACTATTCATTCGGTAATTGTAACGCAATTTGTAATTACCTAAATGCAATATCATGTAGGTATATGATGTCAGACGTGAGCATGAAATGTATTACATTTTATGTTTGTGTTAATTTTACTTAATTAGTAGAGCTTGTTAGTACATTCTCGGCAGGACACAATTTTGTTGTCGATTTCACTTTCTAGTTTATTTTATAACAACATTTAATATGTGTTTTTAAAACACTACGTCATATAATTTATATAGCAAGTTTATTTGAACGAAGCAAAGTGTATTAATGAAATTAAATTTTTAAATCTTAGTGTTTACCCTTATCGCATAAAAGCCTGTTTTGGATTTTACTTTCTACGTTAATTACAAATTTGCACGTGCAATTTCATAGTGCAAATCTTGTACTTTTCCTAGCAATAGCTAGGAATAGCTGCAGCTATTGCTGAGATTGGAAATAAAATAGGAAATTGCTTAGATATACTTCACTAATATACGAACATAGCTGCCGTTTCATTCGGTGGTTTCTTACCACACAGAATATCCGCGGTTCAAATCTCGGCCGTTGGTTGTCGTGACAGAAGATCACTTTATCTTTGAGACCGGCTTGCAACCACTCAAAGGGAATGTGTATATAGTTTTCCAGACAAATTTGAGTGAAAGAAAACAGGCTCTAATAGCTTAAGATGCATAACGACCACACGGCCAAAGTAGTCTTGAAAGAAATTTATTTCTCCAAACAATATAAAAATATGAACTAGTATGTTCAATTCAAAAACAGTTTAAATACATACAGAATTATCATACTTTTTAGAATTACAATTTGTGAGGTTCAAGTGCACATTGTGCACTTAGTGAAAATATGTCTGTTTATGTTACCATCATATTTCTATGCACTACTCATATATCACATTTTTATCCTACAACCTACGTACTACGGTTGTAGTATGATTTAGGTATTTTTGAAGATTTAAATATTTTCTCGGTTTTCTTTGTCGATTTTTTTAAATTCATTCAATTCAATTCAACATTTAGATTTGTTGCATTGATTACAAATGAATTGACTTTGTGCTCACAGTACGAATTGTAATTAAATCAAAACATTCAATGTACTTAATTATAAAGATAACTAAACTTGGAAAAACAAAATCAAGGACTTTTTTTATTGTGCAACAACACAAATTACTAACTACACTAAGAATTAACATGTGAGATGTTATCAGAATAATGAATTCTAAGTTGTACATTTGTTAGTAATTTGCTAAATTGTTTAAAACTTCTATAAGTTTTTATTCCAATGCAACTAAAATACGCACTTTTAAAATGTTAACAGAATGTGCATTGTCTGCAGATTTAAAATTAGAGATAATACTATATACATAATATATTTACTTATCTAAGAATTTCATAATTGTTTCTTCCTCGTCTAGGCATATAATTTAAATAGTTGTCCATATTTCATTAAACGGAAAACAGAATTAAAACAATTTTTTACATCAAGTAAAATTCATATGGTAGTACACATTCTTTTATTTATTCAAACGATGATTAAATAAATATTAGATTAGTTCAACTTCCTATGAGTGATTATTTACAAATTTCTTTATTTCATCATTACAATATAATTAAAACTAACACAAGATTACAAAATTGTAACAAGAAGAGAAAACAATGACAATCACATTAATAATACAATAATTTCATAATAACAAAATCATTAAAATTCTTGCAATTCGAGCATTACGCATAAAGAAACTTGCATTCAAAAAGTTGAAAAACTCATATGTTTAGGAATACATTACACTTTTGTTTTCTTTTGTTTCTAAGCAGATTATGTATGTCTGGGTGTTATTGTGCCTGTCATGCTTTAGTAATTTTTCTTTTCTGTTGTCTGCCGTCAGCTCTCATGGAAACCAAGTTGTTGAGACGTGAAATATGATACGTATGATACGCCTGATACACATGAATATGACGTACTTTACTGATGTTCTGATGATGTATGATTCATTCGCAAATGTACGTGCAAATGTTGCAATCAGTATTAAATTTTGTATTTTTCTCTTATAAAGCACAACTTTAATTTTTTGCTCTCTGTGTCCTTCTATGCTGCAATTGTTCGTATGATAATTTATGTTATCGTATGTGTATATTAGAATGAGTACAAATTAGCCACGTCTCTCGAAATAGCAGTTTTTTGTTTTGCATCCTTAAAACTATGCGCATACGAATAAGTAATGGATAAGGAATTAATAGCTCTGTGTGCAGGATATGCTGCCATGCTGTGCATTTAATATTCGATATGATATTTCAGCTTTATTTAAAACAAATTTATGCATTTTATTAAAAAATTACTACAAAACTCAAACTTCAGTTGCTTGGATTCGTGTATCTTGATGCACCCGGTGCATCAGATTATACTTTAAACACCCTTCAAATCACCCTCTTAAAATATAAATAACTAACTATTTTATTTGATTTTTGAAATTTTGTTCTTTTTTATTTCAGGGTATTTCTATATTTTACATCGTTGTTTATCATGTGTACTAATTCATTGATATTTACTATACACGTATCTCAACCCTCCCCCCACTTAATTTTTCACTTGTTGCACATATGTATCACGGTTTGTTCAACAAAAACTTAATTTGATTCAGTGTGTAAAGTAATTCATTACGTACAAGATTTCAATGTCATTTAGTCTACCACATAGAATAATAGAGATATCAATCAGTATACGAGTACAGGACACACGCATCAAACTTGACCCTAATTATCGCGCAACATAAAAATCGGATTAAACTGGAGTTAAATCAAAAATAATTTCAATGCCCCACCTAATAATCTATATTTATATACTCTACTCTATCAAACTTCATTGTGAAGCCAAACGAGTTCATGAATTTTTCATCTGTTCATGTGTTCATTGACCAGTCGACAAAAGGTTGAATAACACTCAAACTCATTTGCCAATTATTATTTCACAAATACACAAATGTACGAATGTACACAATGGATAGACAAAGGTACTAATACATATGAAATGACATAATGACACACGTATGCTTACGTGACGCATTGATAGGATCTTTCAGTCTTTCAGTTCGTGGCATTTTTGCTTCCTGGTCGTTTGATTGTCACCGCAATAGTAGAGTAACCAAACCCAACCAAACAGATTCACACGACTACATGAATAAATTACTAGCTGTGTGCCAAGAAAATAGAAGGCAGAATGTTGCATGTGGGTGAATGTTGGAGTTAGAGTTTACACATTTTATGTTCATTGAACAAATTTTGAATTATGAAATAGTCTTTACCGCTTTTGGTGTCAAGTGTAAACCACTTCGTGACGTATGTTGCCATGTCGAATATGCATACCAAGATTGCTGATTACTGATAATCGTAATTACAGTGGTAGTTATTTAGTTATTCATTCTGGTACTCTACAAAATTGGATGATGCCAACCCCTTCTCCAGTCTTAGAATAAAATATATATTTTTGAACAAAAATTCGCAAAAATAATCAATGTAAACTGGAAATTTTCGCATTTGCCTGGTATATGTATTCATTTACAATTGCATTTAGTAAATGTGGATTCAACGTACACTTCCCATCGATAAAAGTAAATTTAAACTGATTGAAGCACATATGTTTTTGTTTTGCTGAGTGGCAATGACTACTTTTTTGTTATATTTTTTTATTACATCCAAAAACCTCTCGTTAGAAATATTTACTTAATATTTGAAGAAACAATGCAATGGGCAGCAAGTCATATCCAGGCATTTTTTTCGACTTCCAATTGATAGCATTAAATGAAGACTAAATTAATTTAGATGAACACATGGACACATTTAAATATTTGTATTGTTCATGCCTATCCACTGCTTTATACCTACTCATTGAAAACTAGTAGATAATTATTCATGATAAAAAGCTGAAAGTACAAAACCACAGTAAACAGTTAATTGAATCATCAGTCACAATTAAATTATCATAACATCAAAGCAATCTTTATGAACATATCAAACTAACGGTAAAATTGCATTGTACTTATTGCTTTTTTATTGTAACCGCATCAGCATGGAAATGTTCATTTCCATTGGGCAGCTATTTTATTATATGATGAGTATAGATGTATG